ACAGCCCATCTTGCAGCATTATGCACGATGCACAGGTAATGTCACCCTACTCACATACAGACGAAAGAAAAGACCAAGATCAACAAGGTAAGAAACACTGTAAATCAAACACTGTGACCTTCAAGTTCTCCCATTAAAACCCTGTGGCAGATTTTGAAGGGATTCCACTAACAGCATCTTCATTTTTAAAACATCAATTTCAGCAGGAAAGATGGCCTTCCTTCCCCCTGGAGTCTTAGAGATAAATTACCTTACATGTACCTCTTAATTACATGTGTCATCTTCTTTATTCTCTTTTTTCCCTTTATCTGGATTTTCAGTTGATTGTCAACTGTTGCTGCTGTTTTGTAGTGCTGATAGATGCCATTCTGAGAAATGGAGGCGGTGCCGCTCCAGAAACAAACCATGTGCCCCCACCGACAGGATGGCGAGATGAGGACATTGGAACCAGTGAAACAAATAATGCAAGTGGTGACGAGAAGAAGAGCTACACCGAGGAGCAGCGCCAAGGGGTTCTCAGGTGACTGTTTACTATTTTAAACTTCTATATTCATTTCAATTGCCATCAATTGGTCTTATTTGCAAACACACGTGAATTTAAGTAAATTGTTGCATTTCTGGTAAATAAAATCCTCCTTGGCTTACAACTCAGATTGTTTACCTGGCAGGTGAAGTGTTCTCAAGTATGATTACTCAGTCAGAAAACGGAACATTTCCAATACCAAAAATCTTGTCCCTTTGCAGCGAGGTCCTGCATATTTTCATTTTGAAATCTATAGAGATTCCTGGTAACAGAGCTCTTGTTTATACACTAGATTACCAAAAGTGTTCATGCAGCTATTCACATCTTTGGGCAATTTAGAATCACCAGTTAACCTAACCCCCCTAACTGCATGTCTTTGGGCTTTGTGAGGAAGCCGGAATACTCGGAGAAAACCTACGCAAACATGGGGAGTACATGCAGACTTCGAGCAGAAAGACCCCTGCCAGATGTTGGATTTAAACCCATGACTTTCTTACTGTGAAGCAACAGTCTAACCACTGCACTGCCATTCTGCCTGCCATAGGGTGAGAGGATTCAGTCACCCATTCCAATAATTGAATTCAGGTGTTCCAGTTACTTCCATTGCCATAAGTGTATAAAATCAAACACTCATGCATGCAGACCACTACTCGAAACATTTGTAGAGAAACAAATGGGTTTCTCTCTGTGAATCCCATCATGATACCATGATAGGATGCCACCTGTGCAACAACCCCAGTCATGAAATTTCCTCCTTACTATATATTCAGCAGTCAGCTGTGTGACTGTGAATGACAGCTAATCAGCCACGAAGTGGAAGGACACATAGGGATCATGTAACGTGAGGCGAAGAGTCCTCAAAGGTCTACAACTATTTGCTGAGTCGATCACTAAAGACACCCAAACTTCATGTGGCCTTGAGATTAGCTCAATAACAATGTGTGGAGAGCTTCATGGAATGAGTTTCCATGAAAACAGCTGCATCTAGGCGTTACATCACCAAGCTTAATGCATAGCGTCAGATGCAGTGACATAAAGCACGCTGCCACTGGACTCTAGAGCAGTGGAGATGCGTTCACTGGAGTGACAAATTGCACTTCTTCTTTTGCCAATCCAAAAGACAAGTCTGGGTTTGGGGTTTGCCAGAAATCCTTAGTTTCAGTGAAAGGAACTGTTAACACTTCAGTATTCCAACACATTCTGGAAAATTTCATGCTCCCAGCTTTGCGGGAACCGTTTGGGCATGATCCCTCCCTGTTCCACCATGACTGTGCACCAGTGGACAAAGCAAGATCCATAAAGACGTGGATGAACAAGTTTGTTTTGGAAGAACTTGACTGGCTTGGACAGAGTGCTGGCCTCAACCCGTTAGAACACGTCTGGGATGAATTAGAGTGAGGACTTTGAGCCAGGCCTTCTCATCCAACATCAGTGTCTGACCTCACAAATGTGCTTCTAGAAGAATGGTCAAAAATTCCCTTAAACACTCATAAACCTTGTGGAAAGCCTTCCCGGAAGAGTTGAAGATATTGCAAAGGGTGTGCCTACAACATATTAAGTTTTATGGATTAAGAATAGTTTTTCATTCTAGTTCATAAGCGTGTGAAGGCAGAGAAGCAAATACTTTTGGCAATATAGTGTATTTTCCTTCTAAAACTCATTGGAGATTCCCAGTAACAGAGCTCTTAGTTATATGCTCCTCATCAAAGCTTAACCATGCGCTATTGATTGGTCTCCATCCTACAAAACAATGCTTTGTTGGCAAAACATGTCACTTGACTAAGTATTATGTTTTACTCAAAGCGGAACAGATATGCAGTAACAGAAAGAAGAGGTCATAAGAAGCCTGGAGATATTTGATATGCATTCCAAATTTTTCCCCCCTTTTGTAGGATAAAGAATTGTAAGGACTTTTATGAGATTCTCGGTGTGCACAAAAGTGCCAGCGATGAAGATTTGAAGAAGGCCTACAGGAAGTTGGCCCTGAAATTTCACCCTGACAAGAACTTTGCTCCGGGAGCCACAGATGCTTTCAAAGGTACGAGCTTTGGCGATAAAAAAAGCAAAACAAGCTTTTATTGCCCACTTCATTGTATTCTACCAAATGCAGAAATTTATGAAAGCTCACCAAAGTTAGAGGTTGTGGTCCGCTCAGCAGCTGAAACCTCGTGCAGGTAGTGTCTCTTTTAAAATGGATTTTATCAGGACTTTAAGTTTTTGCAGCTTTTAAATGTTTTTTTGGTATTTCTTTAGGCAGTTTGTATTCATTTCTGACTGTGAGGTGCAGAGGGAGAGACATGAGACACACTGCAGATATTGATCCAAAGATGAACATTAAAGTCAAATCGGAGTGGAAATCCAAGAAAAAAAATTTTGTAGCTCTTTGCATGAGAATCGGCACCGATTTTGTTCACTATTAAGCCTCTATGGCCATTAGTACAGGAGCTGCTTATTTGCATCCGCTGCCTTGCTCTTTTCCCAGCTCTGTTGCTGCTTTTTTTTTTTGCTTTGGACTTCATGCATCGCAAATTTTTCCCCTCTCTCCCTACAGCAATAGGTAATGCATATGCAGTGCTGAGCAATCCAGAGAAGAGGCGGCAGTATGATCAGTATGGAGATCAGTCTGCAAGTATGAACGCACCCCAGCAATCCACCCACAGTCGGCACGGACACTACCGCAGCTTCCACAGGGACTTCGAGGCCGACATTTCCCCCGAGGAGCTCTTCAACATGTTCTTCGGAGGAAGGTTTCCCACAGGTATGACAGGAGGAAGGTAACTGAAAAGGTCACTATTCCAGGTGGCTTTTAGTGGGCAATTTGTAATAAATTTGCAATTTAAATATTTCCAATAGAGCTTCCAACAAATGAAAACGCAGTGAGCATCAGTATTAGTATTTATGGTTCATTTTGGCTGCTATATTGTAGGTATATTACGTGCTTTTTTTATGTTTAAGTGCAGATTCCATAGCACTGTGTTTCTCTACAGGAAATATCCACGTGTACACCAACCAGGGAGCCTCCTACTCTCAGTTTTATCAGCCTCGTCGTCGACGTGCTCATGAAAGGCGCGAGGAGGTGGTGGAGGAAAATCAGAGTCAGGTCAGTGACTCACTAAGCATGAGGAGAAATCCCTGTTAAACAGCCTCAATATTATGTTGTTGTCGTCTTTAATTCTTTGATCATGAGTCTACAGAAAAGTACTGAAAGGTTCTGGAATTCCTTTTTAACATGACTGTATCCCTTAAGTGATTGTTTCTGCTCATATTCCAAAGACGTTGAAATACCACGCTGGCATGAGTGCGGCGTAATCATTGCAGCCTACATACAGTATTGCATGCTTTGTAAACTGTGCTGATTTCTATCTTCCCACAGAACACCTTCACAGCTCTTCTGCAGCTTCTCCCCGTGTTGGTGCTAATCCTCATATCAGTGTTTACTCAGATGATGGCCACTAACCCACCCTACAGTCTCTTCTATAAGCCGTGAGTCTGTTCGACAACATATAGGTCTCACTACTGTGATTTTTAGCCATCCTAAGGGTTCTGACATGCTTGACGCTGTAAATCCACTGAATTAATTTGGTTTGGTTTTGGTTTCAGAGCCATGGGGCTAGTGGTGTCCAGGGAAACGCAGCACATGGGTGTACCATACTATGTAGACAAGGGTTTTGAGAAGGAATACCGTGGCGCTGCACTGGAGGAGCTCGAGAAAACCATCGAGAACGACTATATTGAACACCTGCAGAGCAGCTGCTGGAAAGAAAAACAGCAAAGTAAGCAAGCAGGTTCTTTGTTTGGATGGGGAGTATAAACTGCTGGGCCAAAAAAAAAAATCCCCACTCTCTTAATATTTAATTAGACTGCCTTTAGCTTTGGTGATGGCCCACATTTGCTGTGGCATAAATTTCGATAAGCTTTTACAGTGTTAAGATATTTATTTCCATCCAGAGTTGCATTCATTTTCTTCCCCAAAATCTTGGATTGATGATGGTAGAGTCGGACAACTATGTGGGCTTTCTTGAGCCATGCTTTCAAACCTTGAGCCTAACATTGGTATTACCATTTTGGAGTATACCTGTGCCATCAGGAAATGGGGGCCATTGATTGGGGATAAGTGGTTTTCTTAAGGCTACACAGCTAAATAATTATTTGAGCAGTGAGTTCTGTTATTATTATTTTTTATTAATAACTTCACCTAACACTTTAAGTAATCTCTGATTAGATTAATTTATTTAAATGTTTTTATTTTGACCCCATTCCTTTCTCAAAGATGATGATTGGACAGTTCTTGACCCAATTTTAGATTGTTGTTGTTGTTGTTGTTGTTGTTGTTTTATTTTATTTAGTATATTAGTATGCAGGGCAATAATTTGACTCTCCTGAAACGAAGTATCATCTTCTCCACTACCTCAAGATATGTCTTCCAAAGCTGTTATTTAAGAAATAAAAAAATACTCAGTGCAATAGTTTGTTTAATAATCTACCGCAAGCTCAAATATACAAATCACTGCAGTAATCATCTGGAAGGCCCCCTTACTTTTTTGTAAGGGAGGGGCAGTGTTCATTACTGCTAATTTGTTAAAGTTCAGATCCTTAACATCCTCAACAGCGCAACATTGCATTCAGTTTCAATTGTGAAAAAACAATGTGAAGCCCAGGAAAATGTAGGGTTTGTCTTTTATGGCCGCCCCTCTCTAAGCCTGGTTCTGTTGGAGGTTTCTTCCTGTTAAAATGAAATTTTTCCTTCCCACTGTTGCCAAGTGCTTAATCAAAGGGTGTCATTTTATTTCTACATCTATATTATTGTAGGGTCTTAACTTACAATATAAAAGCGCCTTGAGGCAACTGTTGTTGTGATTTAAAACTATATAAATCAAATTGAAAATGGGACTAAATTTCCATATCTGTGTGATGATTCAACAGCTGCAGAGATTTTTGCTGGTAGAGGATTGTACCTGCTTCCCAGAGTTTCTGCCACACTCCCATGCTGTAGATAAAAGATTGACGTAGCTAATGCTAGCTAGTTTGGTGCATCTATAGACGGCGCGGATGCCTCGCAGAGACATAGGGTCCTGCTAATTAGTGCTGACATGTAAGATACATTTCACAGAGACAAAAACTAAGAGCAGGCTTAACCACATTCAAATCCATGTTTGTTTGTTTTTTTTTTGTCGTCAGATGACTATTAAAATGATCCAACAGCAAAAACATGGTCAAGAGGGTTCAAGGCAGTGAATCAGATTAGCTTAGGTGATGCTGATCAGTCATACTTAGATGCTTGTGCCTGTACTTCCCTGTCACTAAAGCAGCCACACCCCTCAACATTCATAACTGAAAGCCTTTAGCAGGTGGTATAGAAATGAATCTCCTTTACAGTTGTTATAAAGTAAGTTTTTGTAGCCAGCCTTAAGTGACCATTTGAGGAACTGAAGTTTTTGGGGGGGTTTTGGGTCCTGCTCTCGATCTTTAGTAGTGTTTCTGACTGCAGGATAAAACCAACTGTTTCCATCTATTTCTCTGTTTATGGTAAGCTACATTATCAGTCTGCTGCAGCTTCATTTTTGTCATTCTGTTTCCTTTGCAGAATCAGACTTGGCAAACCTCGGACAGCTGTACCGAGACGACCGCTTAAAGCAGAAGGCGGAGACAATGAGGCTGGAAAACTGTGAGAAACTGCATCGATTGGTTGGGCGTCAGAGAGGAAAATGAGGACTGTCGGAGAGGAGAAAGTGTTTCTTTACAGACTTTACAATAATGTATTTTACCTAAGTGTGTAATTTATCCAATCTGGCCACTTTGTGAAGAAATCTCTTTGGGTACAGCACAGCCAGTGGGAGATTATGCCGCTGGGAACGATGTGCCTTCTCTCCTCGTGTCGATGGTAGAAAGTGAAGTTGCATGTTAGCTGCCGGCCCTAGCTGTGGTGGTAGCGGTGACAGGTGCGCAGTCACTGTGGAAGCGTGAACGACGTCTCAGAGCCTTTAAACTTTCTTATAGAAATGGCATGACATAAGGGGGCTCCCTTTGGGGTTACAAAGGCAGTTGTATGTTCACGCATACATGTTTTATCTGGTTGGGTTTTGTAGTTCACCTGTATTTATTTTGGATGTTTCTGTGTCCTTGCTCAAATTTTAGGTGTATTTATTTAGTAGATGATAGAAGAAACATCCATTTTTCTTTCCTGTTAGAAATGAAGTACAGTGTACTGTAGTCTTTTATTTTTAGTCTGCAACATTTTATTTATGATTGAAACATAGACAAATCACTCAATTGGACCTCGAGCAATAGGAGGCACAGTAATATTTTACAGAATATGCTGTTTTCTGTTTGTGCTGCCAAAAAAAGGAGCTGCTTCCTACAGCAGAGCTTCAGGCTCCCTGCGTCAGCGCTTGCATAGGTGTTTATTGTGTTGGTCATTTAGAAATGGCATTTCAGCCGAAAGAAAAGGCAGTTCACAGTGTTTCTTGCTGTATATGGGGAATCTTCACTATAAGCAGTTTGTATGGTTTTATGGAGTTTAAATGGCTTGCAATACAGTTTTTTGTTTGCTTTCATAACTGCAAGCTCAGATGCTTCCAGAAAAATGGGTTTTCAGCTCAAATCTAGATATTTTATAAATCCAATACCCGTAATTTCTTCTGATCTTTTATAACAATAATGATAATTTAAAAATAAACGTAAAAAAACAAAACAAGAAAATGTTTTGAAAAACTTAATATATAAGAATTGAATGGCTATGATTAGACAGCCTAATCCGATAGTGGTAACTTCAGTCAGTAGTGGCTGGGAGTTTTTCAAAGAAACAAGCATGTCTCTTTGTGCTAGCAGTCGCAGTCCTCCGATGCACTGCTGCCTCCCGGTGTCATTTTGTAAATAACGGAGACTGTTAAACTCCTTGGAGACTTTGTTTTCCACAACTAACTTGTGGGTATGATCATTTCATCCAGACAGAAACCAAAATTGGGACTTTTACTTGCCATGTTCTGATCAAATCACGTCATCACTAAGGGGATTCTAACTTATGGAGCC